TGAGAGCTGAGAAAAAGTAGTGACAGACAAAAAAAAAAAAAATAAATAAATAAATAAACACATTATGGTAAAATTAATACCTTCTCAGCTTCGCATCGAAGGTAAAAAAAACAAAACAAAATTAATATTGATGATATTGTATTTGAAAATTATATATATGATAGTAGGTTATGTATTTAACAATAATTAAGAAATAAGAATTTTCATTTTTTATTGCAATTCACCTAATATCTTACTATTATTCATCTTGTTTTTTACTTCCTCAATTACTAAAATTTCTGCATCTCATTTTCATGCATCCATGAAATTCCATTTTTAATAAAAAAATTTAATAATATTTTTTTTTTTTAAGAATTATATCAATTACCTTTTTGTAAAATTTTATTAAGCTACTTTAAATAAATTTTGTAAAATTTGTTTTAAGTAATAAAGTTAATGTTTAAAATTTTTAATTCTGTTTTATACAAAATATTTATTTCTATTTCATTCAATGGCAAAAAAAAAAAAAAAATGAAAAAATGAAGTAGATATACGAGAAGAGATTCAGAAAAATCGCATCTTGTATATCTACTTCATTGGTGATTTTTGTTAAATTTATAGAAGGACATCATTTATATTTTTCCATTTTTTGTTGTAGTAAATTATTTATTACTAGGCTCGGCCTAGCTGAGGCTCCACCCCAGACCCGGGGCCCAATCTCTCTTAAATACACCCCTGTTATACACAAAAATTATTAATAATCTAATTATAATAATTTTGTTTATATTATAGAATAATTAAAAAAAAATTTAGCAGGTTATTATAAGTGGCACACATTAAATTTAAATTAAAATTAATATTAAAATAAAATTAATATTAAAAATAAAAATAAAAATTTAATTTTGATAAATATATTGGTAACTGCGATTTAACGATGAACATCATAGTTATCATAGATGAATCCCAATTCAAAAGATAAACTCATAGTCTCATACATCATACATGAGAAAAAAGAAAATTATTAACTCTGTACTTAGTACTGTTCTTATAATGAAACTACAAACTTAAATAATTATAACGTCATGAAATTTATATATAAGCAATTTTTACTTGAGATGATGTTGCTGTGAGGCACACATATTCCGACATAAATGAGCAACCACAATTGGCCGAGAACAAAATCCACACAACGGGATTATTCAGAAGAACATATTTCTTCTAGACACATGTATCTGAGTAGCCCACAATTGGCTTAGAACAACAAATCCACATAAAAGGATTTATTCAGAAGAACCTATTTCTTCTAGACACATGTAGATTCATAACCATAAAAAAAGGTATCAGTCTTTTATCACAAAAAGACAACATGAAAAAATGTGATAGCCTTCCACAGTGTCGTCCTATTCTGCGGCGCGAACACATCATATAATTAAGTTTCATAATACATATCAGCAGAAATGAATCACTGCGCATAATACAACCATGCGCGTGGACTTAAAAAAAAAAAAAAAGCTCGTAAAACTTGCAAACGTAAATGGGCGTGACTGATGAAAATTTCAAACCTTAAGTCGTAAAACGCTGGCGTCAGCGAGCGTTTTTCTCGAAAACGGTCGAAATTTTAAAACGCTCGCGGGCTAGCGGCAAAAATTTTCCGACCTTCGACAATAATTTTCCCGGAGTCTGGTGACCGAGGACTTTCGTCGAAAAATAATTTTGAAAATCCGAGCACGCTAAGTAAATTTCCCAGAAAAGCGTTTTTTTCCTTGTTCTATTATATAATAAGATTTCAACGTTTACTTTTTATTAGGTGTTCCTTCAGTATTAAAAAAGTGAAAAATATACATTAAATATTTAGCATTATTGAGATTTTCATTTTAAAAATGTTTAGGAATCGATATTTTTATACTGAAAAAATAATTGTCATACAATTTTTTTTCAATGTAATGGTAATATGAATAAATTCTCTTATTTTCATACTAATAAAGTAACTATCAAAAATATCAACTGCGTACACTTGTGTAAATAGATAAACAAAATGAATTGTACCATAACTTAAAAAAAAATTATCTAGTTTCGCTTGAAATAATTTATACACTCATATTTTTATCTAATAATTGATTTGATCTACATGTTTAAGATTAGAAATAAATTGTAACAATGTTCATAATGTGAATAATTATACAATATAATAAATCTAAGTTTATTAGACGAAAAACTATAGTTATTAAGACTATTGTAACTTGTATCTATTTTTTATTTAAAACATTTAACATAATGATGAACAAATTGAATAAAAACAATTTATAGCTAAATTAAACAAGAATGTTTAATAATTTCACGGAATACATCATGATATCTTTAATATTTTAAAACATGTTTCGCTCAACCTCTTGCCAGATATTATTTTAAAATTGGGATATTTTTTAATATTATTTAATTTTATTTCTTCATAATCATTTTAGATGGATGTTTTGTGTTTATTAAAACAAATTCTACCAAATAATAAAAAATAATTATGTTAAAAACGAATATTACATTAAATTTTTGTCACATCTTAGACATACTTATAAGAAGTTCCTGTAAAAACTTTAAACATTTTCTCATGAAAACCGACATTTTAGGTGTATATTATTTATAGTTTTTAAAGAAACTACTAAGTTTATTGATGTAAACAATGAGTAAACTTTATCATTTTCGAGTCATTAATAACACATTAAAAAAATTTCAGATCTACAATTCACAGTTCAGGTGATTTCACATGATATTATAATATTTGCAAAGGCTATTAAATTAAAGAGGGCTTTTGAAATTTTCTCAGTAGCTCACCTAATCTATCCAAACCTACTTCTAGATATCATTTCTTACAACTTAAAAGAGTGCCAACTTTATTCTCAGCTGTACTCAATCTCCCGCCAAGGTATAAAAATGTTTATAGTTTCTGTAATACTATTTCAAACTTTTTATTGTTTCGTCATTTTCTTAATTATATAATTTTCTATTATTTCAACTGATTAAATTTAATGTAAATATTTAAGTAACACAAATTTTTGAGTATACTAATTAAATGTATAGTTAATATTAATTAATTGAGAAAACATTTAAATCATGCTTAAACATTAAATTAACATAATAATTATAAATAATAATGTAATTATAATAAAAATTTAGCACAAAAAAGTTAACTTAAAGATACCTATTAAATGGTAATAAATGATTAGGATATTCAATTAGTTCGCCCGATTCAGGTTCCGTTTCACATATGACATCTAATTTTGAACAAAAATAAATTATTAAAGAGAGTTACGAAATTGTATTCCATATTGTTATCGAATTGTGAATCAATTATTTGCAATATCTAAGTATTATAACGAAAAATATTTTTCAAATAAATTTTTTATTGCTCACACATACTAAAAATATATCAATAAAGTATTGGTAGGCTGTATTACATTTATAGAAGAATAATGTGCAATATTTAAATATAACAAAAAAATAATTTTAAATTTATTTACTGTATCAATAACATGTCTGTAAAATAGTACAAGTCTGCATAATAATAAATTATCACAGGATTCTGATATATAAGATTTATACACATTTGAAGTAATATAATTGTCTTTTTTAATATTATCCTTAATAAAATGTAAATATATTAAATAAATATTCACTATTATACAATTTAAAAATAATTTGGCATTTGTACATGTCGCCATGACTAAATTTTTTAGTTCTCCAAAAATATAATATAAAATATAATGGATAGTAGTAAATATTATATATAAATATATAATAGTATATATAGTTATATATATATATAAAGGACTTTATTATAAATGTATAGTAATAATTATAAAATAATTACCTTCTTGTCTAATCCCTTCTTGTTTATCTACTTCTGTGGTATTTTGTATCATATTTATAAAAACATTTTGTGTAAAATCTAAACATATTAAAATAGTAATTAGCTCAATTTTTAAAACTTATTTAAATAAAAAATAGATGTACAGTAGTGTAATAGGAAAACTTTACCATGTTGCTGAATCGTTTCTTGCATTACTACTTCATTGTTATGTTGTATTAAGTTTAAAGAAGGATTTTTTGCAATATCTAAGTATTATAACAAAAAAATATTTTAACTAAATTTTATATTGCTCATAAGAATATGTAATTTTTAAAACTTTTTTTCTTTTACATTTTGTGTGCTAACCATCTAATAGACTAAGTTTAAAAATATAATAAAAAAATTATCCATGTACTTTGTAATGGCTAAACTATTAATTCTCATTAAACACAATACGTAAATATCGAATAAGATATTCCGAAAGTTCAAACTATTAACTTTTATACAAAATGTTAATGTAAAAGTCAAAGCAGATATAGATATTACGAGAGAAAATGTACAATTTTCTTCCTCAAATTTCTACATCAACGCCATTTTTAAAGATACTTAATATATTTTTATATCGAATTGTGAATCAATAACATATATATGAAATGGTGCAAGTATGCATAATAATAAATTATCACCGGATATAATTATTTGATTGTACCCTTATTTGAATTGATATATAAAATTTATGTAATGTTACAGCTATGAGTAAATTTTGTAGTTTTCCAATAATTAAGAATAAATTATTACGCATTTGACATTTATCAATGAAAATTTATAATCTTTATTTTATAATACTTGTATACAAAAAAATAATTAATTTATGTGTCATAACATATACACTGTTGTACACTAGTTATTATACAGGGTGTTCAGTAAGTCAGGAAACGGGTATCTATTGTTCTCATTGTTACAAACAATGAGAACAATAGAAACCCGTTTCCTGACTTTCTGAACACCCTGTATATGAAATAGTAGGATGATCCTTATTTATACTTAGTAATTTTTTTTTTTAGATAAATTTGATGTCAAGTGATCGGAATTTAATTCTATACAGAATTCAGAAAATATTGGTAAATTTTGAGCGTCCTAGGTCAACCCCTTCGAGTGCCTGGAAGGAGTTGAACATTAACAAAAAGATGTAGGAATTTATTATTTATTATAAATAGAAAAAAATCCACAGAATTAATAATTCAGTAAACAATAATGTCAAAAAAATTTGTTGTGAAATAGTTGTCATATTTAATCCCAGGACAGGTAAAGGGTCAAATTTATAAAATAAATATATAAAATGATAGGTAAAAACATTATGCATCTATAACAAAAAAATTATAATGATTTGATCATTTTTAAAAAAGTTATGGCAGTTTTAAGTAAAAAAAATTGAAAAATTTTCGAAAATTAGCAATTTTTTAATTTTTAATTTTTTTTTTGAGATTTTCCCCATTTACGGGGACGAGGGAAATTTTTTCAATTATTGGGGGTAATGTCTTCGACCAGATACGATTGATACAGACACAAAAAATATATATATAAAAAAAAACTATCATAATAAAATTAATACATTCTCAGCTTCTCATTGAAGCTAAAAAATGTTAATAATGTAATTTTTTGTAGTACTACAATTTCAGTGTAAAAATTGATAAAAATATGAATGTTAAAACTTGAATTAATTGCGATGTAACATTTTTTACTAAACTGGCTGTAAAGAATCCTTGATATTTTTTTCTGTACTCTCGAACGACCTTTATAATAAATAAATTATTATTTGATAAACGATAACAATGACTATAATAATAATTAAATTATAAATAATTACGTGTATCGTTTTTCATTTTCATTTTTAGTAAATTTTGTATTAAATTTACTCAACAGCTCTATTCCTTGTTCTGCTGCATCGTTAACTACCGCTAAGCTTTTACAAATATTTTCTCCATTGATATAATGTTCATTTGTGCTTTAATATTGTAGCTTTTTATTTAAAAATGTATTATTGATTTGAAACCTTAGGAAAAATTGTTATGATTTCGTCGATAGTAAAAAAAGGGTAGTCCTTGTTTAAAAAATCTATAACGTTGTAGTTTTTAAAATTAATTTTTTTTGAGGTTCTCCTGAAAATTTTACATCTTCTTCGTCATTTATATAGTCCACCATTTGATTGCCCATTCGTCTCTTTATATTTAAATGAATACGATCGTCAAAAATAGATAATACTGAAGTTTTCTCTTAAAGGTACCATAAATAGTTTACAATTTTTTTGATAGCTAATTAAGCTACTTGTGCATTATCAGATCTGTATTCATCAAGTGCTTTTATAGTTAAATGAGAATTGCTTGATTGAATTAGGAAAATAACAGTTTTTAACAAAACGATTTGAACACATTTATATTATTTTTCAATTTTTACACTAAAATTGTTGTACTACAAAAAATTACGTTATTACTTTATTTTGATGCATTTATTATTTTTATAAGTTTTTAAAAAATATTATAAAAATAAAATCAAACAGTTTTTATTAGTTAAACTTTGAATAATAAACACTATCTATAGATTTGTATCGAAGCGTTTTTTATGATAGTGATTTTAATTACTGTCATATATCATTATACTTGACCCAACTATGCCACATCCATACTGTGTATTATGTATACGTTTTTAAAAAAATTTTCTTAGATGCAATATTTTTGTATTTGTAATATTTATAAAAATAAAAACGTTAAAGATCAAAAAATTGTATCTGTTCACGAAAAATAAAATTTAATAGTTTTTATTAGTTAGACGTTGAACAATCAATGTTACAAAAAATTCATAAAGATCTTTTTTTTTGACATTATTGTTCACTGAATTATTAATTCTGTGGAATTTTTTCTATTTATAATAATTAAAAATATATGTATAAAAAACTAAATTCCTACATCTTATTGTTAATGTTCAACTTCTTTAAGGTACGTGAAGGGGTTGACTTAGGACGCTCAAAATTTACCAATATTTTCTGAATTCTGTATAGAAAAAAATTCCGATCACTTGGTATCAAATTTGTTTAAAAAAAAATCACTAAGTATAAACATAGGGACATCCCTATTATATACATGTTAAATTGATTATTGTATCACATCTTGTATTATGTTATTATATTGTATGCATCTTATCTTGAAATAATATTCAAATTTTAACTGAAACTCAATAAAAGCTTGGACGACAACATTTCATGGGGGTAATCAATAATAATATTAAAAAGACTCAGCTCTGCTTATACATCAGTGTGAGAGAGAGAGAGAGAGAGATAGATAGAAGTAGTGAGCGAGCGTCTCTTCTCCAATAATTGAAGTTCTGAATCCAATATAGAATTCAGAATTCTTTCATTTAATTAATTTTTACTAGCCGCGACCCCGTATTGTCGTCGGTATATTTTAAGACGATATTAAATATAATTAATTTGCGTCGAGACTGTATTCATTTATATAAAAGAAACGTTATAAATCTTTACAAAAATCTTGATGATCTTCATACAAGCTATCTAAAGAATTAAGTAAATTTATATTATCCCAATTATAATAAAACAATAGATTGATTTACATATCATTTCATTTACTTATTAATAACTATTTAGTGCTTGGACATGTACTTCGACTAGGTATCAGATAGGAGGTAAAGACCTTTACAAGAATACCTCAGCGTTTAATACCTCTATGAGAGGATATTTATTCATTTATTTTTATATCTACTTGTTTTTAGTGTTCTAAGCCCTCAGACTCTACAACTCCGATAGAACCTATGGATTGACTATATGGACTAGCTCATGAATTGACCAAATCCCCAAATATCCAGCCTTGGTCAATATACCATTTTATACTCTTATTTTTGTATTACTACACAGAGAAATAAAAAATGTGGTCATCGAAAATAACTAGTGGTTCTGTGTATTGATGACATTGTCCCCCTTTAGATATAGCCATATTATATAGACACAGCATTTCTCTGTTCAGGAATAGCATAGCCAACTGTTATGACTCTAGGTATACGTTGACAATATTTAAGCCAATTTAAAACTCATTTAAATAAAATTTATATGTATAATAGTGTATACAGGGTGTTCAGTAAGTCAGGAAACGGGTTTCTATTGTTCTCATTGTTTGTAACAATGAGAACAATAGAAACCCGTTTCCTGACTTACTGAACACCCTGTATAATCAAAACCTTACATTTATGTTGAATCTCTTCTAGCATATTTTCTTCATTGATATGTTGTGTCAAATCCATAGAAGGATATTGTGCGATATCTAAATATTATAACAAAAAAAAGAATTTCAAATATGTTATTATCTTATTTATATATTCAAATAAATTTAACCATATTCAATGAAAATAATATAGTAATGGTTTAAAATTTTTAATTCTGTCTGATACACAATATTTATGCCTATATTTCATTCAATACCTAAAAAAATATTATGAGCAATATTGTTATATTGTGTCAAATTTATAAAAGATTATTGTCCGATATCTAAAAAAATAAAAATGGTTTTTAGATTAATTAGAAACTTTTTTTAACTAAAAGTAAATAGACAATTTTAAATCTATTTAAATTATAAAATAGATGTATATTAATATATTCAGAAATCATTACCATAATGTTGAATACAAGTATTTTGCATGATATCTAAAAATAATAAAACGGTTGTTAAATTTTTAAACAAATTAAATTAACGTAATAGTGTTATTTTTAAAATTTAAAATTTAATTGAAACCCAAAAAACAAATTTAATGTTAAAACTATTTAAAACTTATTTTAATTTTAATTAAATGAATAGACAAAACCTAACATTCTTGTTGAATATTTTCCATCATATCTACTTCATTGGTATATTGTGTCAAATTTATGGAACGATTTTTTGCAATATCTAAATATGTTAACAACAAACAATATCAAATAAATTTTACAATGTTTAAAAAGTTATACCTTGCTTGACATTGGTATGAGGTAGAGCAGGTAAAAAGGTTTCACTTGTTTTTGAATCAAATTTAAATCCAAGTTCAACATACTTTTTCCAGATTGTCGTTAAGAATAAATTGCTCATTTTATCACTTAGAAAAATTATAAAATCTTCATATCTTTCTTGACATTTTTGTGTAACAAATTCGTCAATCCAAATATTCCAAAAAGAAGTTATATCTAATTGTTTTATTTTACATAAATATACATCATCTTTGAGTTTAA